CTCCCGCTGCTTATCGCGGGTTTATTGATGCATTTAATTTAGCCTGCATCTATTGTCCCGCTGCGCCGTGGCTAATGGGGGCCCGCTCTTTTGGTGTTTCCGGGACGGGAGTTCCCCCGCCTACTTAGTAGTAGCCCACCAAAGAACGTTGGTCCGCTGAGTGTGCATGTGGATCCCGGGGCTGCACCGTCTTTCTTTGATCAAAGGGTTCCCCTAGTATTCCCTCACGCACCTATTCTTGTCAGGCTTGCGTGGCCTCAATGTGGATCCAGAAGGGAGTACGTACCAGAGACTTGTTTTCGCTTAGTTTCTCGTCCGACGCTTTTGCGAGTGAAAGGGGGGCTGGGGATTCTGCGGCACAGCATCGTACGATGGGCTGTGATTGGCTGTGATTGGAGAGACTGCACTGCGTTTGCTCCTTCACTTTGCGTGGGAATTGCTGGGTCGCTGTTGCCTTGTCACGCCTTGACCGCGTTGCTCCTGTTTGTTTGCCAAAAGCTTCTTTTTACTCCTCTTCGCTCACCATCACACCATCGGTCAAGATACCAATTCCACGACTGCACCACAAAGACTCAATTCATTGTATTGGCCATCAAGAACTGCCATCATGAGCGACACCACAATTGAAGGCCCGGTCCTCATCTTTGGAGGCTGCGGCTTCCTTGGACACCACCTCGTCCGGGAATTTGCTCGCGCGACGCCAAACCCCAAGATCTTCGTCGTCGATGTAAACACTGAGCGCAATCGCAACCCAGAAGCCACCTATCTTACTGCAGACATCCTCAAGCGCGATGAGATAGCCAAGATATTCGACCAAGTCAAACCTCAAGTCGTCCTTCACACGATTTCGCCCAGCCCATTCGAAGTCAACCACTCGATTCTGGAGAAGGTGAACGTAGTTGGAACAGAAAACATAGTCGAATGTGCCAAAGCCGTCGGCACTGTCCGCGCATTCCTATACACCTCCAGCTCATCAGTTGTCCACAACCAGCGCCAGCCTATGATCGAAGCAACCGAAGCCTTGCCCGTGCTCTTCTCTCCTGACCAGCCAGAATACTATTCGCACACCAAAGCACTCGCCGAAAAGCTCGTGCTCGCTGCAAACCGTCAAAATGGCATGTTGACGGCGGTCATCCGGCCTGCCGCACTGTATGGTCCCGGTGACGGACAAATGACTACTAACGTCACCAAGCAAGCTCTCACCGGCCGCGCCAACATCCGCTTCGGTGACAAATCGTACCTCTACGATACATGCTACGTGGAGAACTGCACATATGCCCAGACACTTGTCGTAAAAGCGCTCCTTGAAGCCTCTACATCCGCACCACTCCCTGCAGACCAGAAAATCGAAGGCGAAGCCTTCTTCGTCACAAACGACGAGCATATCCCCTTCTGGAACCTCTCCCGCCTTGTCTCCGAGCTCCTCGGCTCCCCCGTCCCAGATGACCAAGTCAGAAACATTCCCATCTGGTTCATGAAGACCTTCGCCTTGTTGAGTTCATGGCTCTACTGGATCTTCTCCCTCGGCCGCAAGCAGCCCAAGCTCACGCCGTGGGTCATACGTCTCCTGACCATGGAGCGAACGCTGTGTATCGACAAGATCAAAATGAGACTCGGATACAAGCCCAAATTCAATAACAGGCAGGGCTGGGAAAAGGCCATCGAATGGGCAGTGCCGAATATCAAAGCTGAGAAAGGGGGTAAGACTGCGTAGGCTGCAGTTCGTGTGACACTGATTCATTTTCCGGTGTACAGTAAATCACTCTATCCCATTCTCTCTTCCTCACTACTTTCTAAAAATAACAATATACTGTAAAAAAGGGTAACCATCTGCATAACATGCCAATGAGATCCATGTTCCTGGAATTTCTGCCTACCTCGTACACATGTCCAGTGTACTGATGTGATGACTTCATCTCACACACACCCCTTGATACGAGCATCACTTGTCTTATATGCCTACTTATCACACCGACCAATAAAGCCCTGTCTCATACCTTGAACAGCGAAAAAAAAAGGTAAATTTCTGACGTAAACATGGCACTGCATCACACCCTTCACACCCTCCTTCCCGATCGAATACCCCCCCGTCTATCTCCGGTTGAGATACCACCAGCTCCGGGGGCGGTGCTCAGATATAAGAAGTGGGAATGATCCCGAAGGAATAATAATTCTGATATGGAGTAAATTGCACTGCTTATTTGATATATCGACATCGGCGAAGAGAAAAGTGATGATGGCGTTTTTGATATACTTTTTCATTACAGCCTCGATACTACTTACCCACTACTTCCTCTCCTCCTCCTCCTCCACCATCATCCAAAAACCCAGCCAGAAAAAGACGCCCCCATGGCTCTCGTACAGACTCCCCTTTATCGGGCATGCACTACATTTTCTCACAGACCCATATAACTTATTGGCAGGAATCACGTATGCACTCACTCACTTACTCCCCCTACACTTCTCCCACATCAAGTCAAAGTGGCATAAAACTAACACAACCAGCCACCCCGTCCGCCTCCACCTCCCCGGCACAAACCCCATCCTAATCCAAGGCACCTCCAACATCAAGCGCCTGCTAAAATCCAGTTCGCACACGAATCCCTCCCACGCTCAGACGTTCATCGCAAGCCAACTCTTCGGCATGCCCAAGCACGCAGCTCAGCTCTTCCAGCAGGATGACTCCGGGTATGCTGCTACTCCCTTACCAAACTCACGTGTAGAAGGGAAGAATAGAATTTGTTATAGAGATAGGAAGATTCTACTGGATATGCTGCAAGGGAGTGAGGTAGCGGGTGCAATCGAAAGATTCAGGGGCGCATTTGAAAAGAGAATGATGCGGATATGGGAGGGCATGAGCGACCAAGGTGAAGAGTGGATTGAACAAGAGGATTTGTGGGCTTTTCTTACAATGGAGGTTACGCCTGCTGCGGTTGAGGCGTTGTGTGGGAAGGTACTTGTGGAGGAGGTGGATGGGGAGTTTGTGAGCGACTTTTGGGCGTTCGATGAGTGGGTGCCTACTATCACCAAGGGAGCGCCTAAGTGGCTTTTCCCGGGGGCGTATAGGGTTAGGGATAAGTTGCTGGGGAGTCTAGTCGAGTGGCGGAGGGTGTTGTTGCAGCGGCAGCAGCAGCAGGGGAGTCATGGTGGCAAGGCGGATAACGCCTCGCCATCGATGATGGCAAAGATGGATCTGCTCGATGTCGATGGATGGTCTATGCAAGCGATCGCGGCGTCAGATCTAGGCTTGGTATGGGCGTAAGTTCCTCCTCCAGTCTTCTGATTGCAAAGACAAGGGAAGATTGGCTTGTAAGCGCCGTGTGTGATGGCGCTTGCAGACCTCACTTTTTTTGGTTGTCTTTTACTCCTTTGCTGACCACCCTCCTAGGTCGAATTCCAACACCATTTCCGCCATTTATTGGCTGAATGTCGAGATCTTCCGCTCTCGGGAACGGCTGAGGCGTATCCGAGCTGAATGCTTGAATGCAGAACGCAGCACCAGCAGCCACAACACCAACGACAGCCATGCAATTCAAGGCACACCACTACTTGATATCGACTTATCGGCCCTACTCACTCAGCCATATCTCCAAGCCTGTTTTGCAGAGACGCTCCGTTTGCGGACCCACATTTTTATTACCAGATTCGTCGACACTCGCGACATGGAGATAAATGAGTGGTCGATCCCTGCCGGCAGTGTCTTACTCACCTGCTCATCTGTACCGCATATGGACGCTGCGCTGTGGAAGACGAATAGCCATGCCGCATCGGCATGCCCACTTACAGACTTTGTGCCGGAGCGTTTTCTCAAAATGCCAATTGGTATCTCTAGTAACGGTCCGGAGCGGGGCACATGTAAGCTTAATGCAGACGCCTCTCCCTCTGTCGATCCACCAGGAAAACAGCCACCAGACACTTACCCCACGTCTTGCGAATCCGCCCAACTGCAATTTTCCACAAAGGGGCTCGACGGCATATACGTCCCGTTTGGTGGCGGTGCGCAAATGTGCCCTGGTCGCAAGCTGGCAAAAGCAGAGACATTCATCGTAACGGCTGTATTGGCATCCCTGTTTGACATTGAATTGTGTGTCCCCCAGAATGAGATACCGGTCAAGTCGAGTCACTTTGGCACAGGTGTCAGTAAGCCTGCGGCCAAAACACCTTTCCGTATTCGAAGGCGACAAACAGGGTTAGTGAGCTGAGTTGAATGAGATAGCAGATTTGACATGTAGTCTATACTTGGTTACAAAATTTCCTCCTCATGCCCGTGAGCCGTCGGATGATACTGCGGATGAGAATCGAGTACCCTGATCTTATTCGATCTTTGTGTTATCGAGGCCTGAAATAGGGTTGCACAGAATCAGACAGAATCCATTTCGGCATTGGTTCTCATGTGCGCTCAGCCACGTACGTCTTTCTAGCGCTGTATAATCCTTGCCCTGCATAACGGGATTTGTCCTCGTTGTGGTAGAATACGCGAGATCCTTGTGTCCGTTGGGCAGCTGCAAAGGATACTGTAGGTCGTAACACCACCTGCAAGTGTTACCACAGTACTGGGACCGTATGAGAAGACACAAGGCTGATTTCAAAGGCAGATTCGCAGTCGAATCCTGTTCAGTCCTAAAATACTTTCGGTCAGTGAACTGGCTGAATATCGTCCTGGCCCCCACGCCAGGCTCCAACGCCTATTCCCCGGAGGCAAACTCGTGAAACTGTCTGGTGATGGAGAATAAGACAATAATATCCGGACTCGTGTTTTGTGGAGTGATGACCAAGCCTGCATATACTGCGTACTCGAGGTGATCGCCGGCGGCATAGTCTTTCGTCGCCACTTCTCCTTTCCAACCATTTCAAGCCCCCTTTTTGCTATGAACAGTACAAACGAAGAGATCTTAAAATCGTTACAAGACCACCCGACTACTTGGACGTGTGCTTCAATTGCTTGGCTTCTGAGCTGTGCTTTTGTCTGGAAATTGGAACTGATGGCACTGGAACAAAATATGGCATCGCATCATGCGAAGAACAGTCTTGACCCCACTTCGAAAGGTACCCGTGATATCAGTGAACTGAAGAAGTTGCCGTGGTATACGCCGGAAATAGGCAACAAGCTCAACGAACCGATGCAAACGTTGTTGGAAGAGTATGGGAGCGTTCCACGATACATCCAAGAAGAACACATCCACCGAGTCGTGAGTACTACACTTGGTATCTCGAGGCATGCTAATGAATGCAACTTAGCGTGATGCAGCCTTTGAAGCCCTACCGATCGGAACAATTGGCGAGTTCTGGTTCCTTGTTCTTGGGCTCGCTGAGCACCCCATGTACGATCGTATCGTCAAACGACTGACACTTGGTAATGACACTCCCCGGCCAACTTTGATCGATCTGGGGACCTGCCTCGGTCAGGATATACGTAAGCTGATATATGATGGCGCGTCGCCTGATCAGCTTCTGGGCGTGGACAAGTTCCCCCAATTCTTAACTGTCGGTCACGAACTGTTTCAAGATCATGCGGTCACTAAATCATGCTTCGAAACTGCAGATGTCTTTGGCGAAGAGGAAGCTGGTGTCCTTAACACGACCAGAGGCTCTTGGGATATCGTAACTTCCGCGCAGCTGTTGCATGCTTTTGACTGGGCAAAGCAGAAGCACGTAGTGAAGCTCATGCTGCAATTAGCGCGTGGCAAGGGTAGCTGGATAGCGGGCTTACTTACGGGTGGTCTACAAGGTCATTCAGTTCCTGTTCCACCTCCACTGGTTCCCGTTGGCGTACATGTGGAACGTTACATTCACTCGGCAGAGACACTGCAACAGCTCTTTCAAGAAGCATCCGATGAAGCGGGGCTATCTATCAGCATTGATGTGCGATATCAAGAGGATCCTAACAGCTTGTACACGACTGAAATCACGAAGGGTTTCTTTACTTCTTCTGAGGCGAGACTTTTATTCTATTTTGTTGAGATTCTTTGAAGGTTGGGCGTGGGCATTTCCCGTTTAGTCCAAATAGTATGAGTAAAAGAAATTGTGGCTCACGAAATAACACATTTTTGATATATGTCAGTTCAGAAGAATATACAGAAATTCGTATCGATGAACCATAGGTAGCTTGGTGCACCATGACGTCATCTCTAAGACTGACTCGCTTCGCGATATCAATCTCAAGTCTCACGACTCGCATCTTTCCTCCCTCTGTCGTTCATTCTAACTTACAGAAGCAACAAGCATTGTCATCCAACGATGCTTGTTTCCAAGCTACGATTGGTGATATGGATGCACCGCGGACCAAACGTCCAGAATCAGTGCAAGAGCCGTTCGTTAGCGAATGGAAAATGGAAGCTACAAGATGCATGTATTCCTTCGCTCCATCCACCTAGCCGAATAAAAAGCAAATCTGAAATTCTCACTGCCGGTCATCTCATCTCTGTTCTCTCTGTAAGAGCTCGAGAAATTTAGCAAGACATCATGCCTATACCCTCAGTGATGTTTCCAAGTCCCATTGATATCCCCTCCCTCCTTCTTACCTACATCCCCTTTTTCCTCACCATATACACCCTCGTTTGGACCCTCTACACCCTGACCCTGCACCCGTTATCCCGTATCCCCGGCCCCCTTTGGCCGCGCCTATCACGAACATGGCTGATGTACCACCATTACGCCGGTGACATAGACATAGTAACGCGGACCCTGCACACGCAGTATGGCCCCATTGTACGCATTGCGCCAGACGAAGTCACAGTCGCGGATCCAAGCGCGCTGCCTCTTATCTACTCCGTTCAAAAGGCGTTGCAGAAAACGGATTGGTATGTGCCGTGGCGGCCAAAGGGACTGAGCTCGCAACCGGATTTGTTTACAGAGACGGATGAAAGGGCACATACGGCATATAGGCGGATTGTAGGGGGGGTGTATTCGTTGTCTAGTATGTTGAAGAGTGAGGCAGGGTTGGATGAGATGTTGGAGCTTTTTATGGAGAGGCTGGGAGGGTTTGCGGACAGTGGGGAGGCGTTCGATTTTGGACTTTGGTTGGAAATGTGAGTTCGGTTGCATTATCAAAAACCAAAACTGTTGTGCTTGCTGATTAGTATGAATGTATAGGTACTCATTTGATAACATTGGAGTGGCATTCTTCGGTCAAGCGTTTGGGTTTGTGCGTGATAGTGTCGACTACAACGGCTACATTCACGCCGTACATCTCGCAATGCCTTTTCTTGCCCTCTTGACGGTGACGCCGTACTATGCACGGCCGTTTCTATTTCTTGTTGCTGTGTGCATTCCGAAACTGCTCAGGGCTGTGCTGGCGGTGGAGGATATCAAAAAGACGGCGATCAAAGAGACTAAGACAGCGACTGAGCGGACTTTCGAGGTGACGGGAAAGCGACCTGATGTAGTCTCTCAGCTTTTAGCAATTGTGCAAGAAAAGGGTGAGAAGGTGAACTACTCGCACAAGGAAATCACGTCCGACATGTGGGTAGGAATGTACGTGTTCTTAGCATGGATGTACGACATATTGTGCTAACGAAGCGTAGCATGGCCGGCGCGGACAGCACATCGATAAACATGCGTTCGATAATGTATTTCCTGATGAAGAATCCGGAGAAGTTTGAGAGAGCGCGGGTAGAAATCGATGCAGCTTTTGAAAATGGCAGTCTTTCATCGCCCGTGCAATACAGTCAGGCATCCACACTCCCGTACCTGACAGCAGTGGTGAAGGAAGCCGGGCGACTGTTCCCTGCATTCTCAGTGTCGATGCCTCGGTATGCGCCCATTCGGGGTCTCACGCTTTGTGACAAATATATTCCAGGGGGCTATACTGTGGGCATGAACCCGGCGATTGTCCAACATGACACTGGTATTTTTGGAGAGGACGCACTCAAGTTTAAACCCGAGCGATGGCTTGAGAGCAACGAACGCACACGGGCAATGGACAGGGCAATCCTGGCATGGGGGGCTGGGACGCGGACGTGTGTTGGCAAACCTGTAAGTGGCTCTGGGCGTGGCTATCAAACGCCCGCGCTGACAGTGCATAGCTTGCCTTGACACAGATCTACAAAGTAACGGCAGAGACATTGCGCCGATTTACTTTTGAAATGGCACACAACCGGCCGTGGAAGGTTCACAACTGCTCCTTCAATGTGCAGACTGATGTGGTGTGCAGATTCAAGAGGAGAGATTTGAGCGCCACATAGAAGGCTGTGGCCTGCATCATGCAGGATCTAGCTGTATACAACAACGTATCCCTTATCAGCAAGGGAACAGAAATATTAGTCAGATGGAGTGCAGGATCATGATTCCTTTGGTATAGAGCACGGATGCACAAGGCAGCGGTGACAACGTGGTTACTGGGAAGACCCTCGCAAGCATGCGCCACGAAGGAGATCATCCGAGACGAGAATCAACAGATGTTGGGAGAATTGCCGTAACAGGTATGTTGAGACGTGAAACTGCCGGGCTGAGTGTCGTTAGCGCCCTAGGATAGATTGCTGCCGGCTAGATGTCGCATGTGAGTTGCATCGGTTTTTGAGTTTGTCGAGGCCAGCGAAAAGGACTCGTGGGGCCGTGCGCGAGTACGAGGTCTTGGAGAAAAAGCAAAGAAAGGGGCTGTCTCTTGTTGGGTAATAGTACGAGTAAATATAAGGCCAGACCTGATTGTGACACCAATGGAACATAACTGGGTCGTGTCATTTGTCAGAACTGCTTGATTTGTTGAAGTTCATATTTCTATTCCAGTTTCTGAGGAATTCGTGCTGATGAAGTATCAAAACTGGTCAATGCGAAATGCTTGGAGCCACTGGATTGATGGATACAACTCCGCCCAGGATGCGTGTAGCTAGACGGAAAAACCTGTAAGAGTACCAAGATCTAACTTGGCAAATGGGAGGAAACCGGATAGGGGTTGGTGGAGGCCTGGCCTGGTCTGGCGTGCACTTTCCTGTATCACACCCCTACATACGTACATCTGAGCGATACTATGTGTCTCCAAAGCTTAACATAGAATCTGGTTAGAGCTTGCTAGATGGTGCTTCGCTTGGTTGAATTGGAACCAGATTATGCTGTGGGGTAGGGACCAAGGGCGGGGTGAATGGACAGTCCATGCCACCAAGTGCATTCCAATTGCACTGCCGTATTTGTCGCGGCGCTAGTCTTTGTGCAGAAAATACCGAGGAATGATCCTTTTTGTGTTGCTGAATTTTGATGATGGTTGAGTGGGTGTTGGGGTCGAGGCCAAACAGGCTAGAAGCACAGATGATGATTGACACCGGGGTGCTCTGGCGATGACGATGGCTCAAAACCCGCCTTGCTACTTGTTCCCTAGTCGCGTAATCGCTAGCCTGGCCTTGCGGCTGCCACTCCCTCCCAATGTGAAGCTGCACACGTGAAAAGCAGGTGTATCTTGCATTACCTTTTTTCCCTTTTTGCTGAATGTGCTCTGTTTGAAGCTCCATGTCGCGTCCCAGTTGCCTACCGTGATTCTGAACCAGCGCACCCCAGCAGCCCAGTCGAGATAGGAGACAACATCCAATGCCCACCCAGGAGCGACACTCATGGCACAAGCCTGAGGTAGCCAACCTGCCGCCAGACTCGTATACTGCGCAGAGATTGGTATGCAATCCCTGCCATGTTATGCAGGCCATAGGCTGAGTACGAGAATTAGCAACATGCCACGCCTGAACACCTTCACCTCACCTCGAGGCGCTACTTCATCGGTCCTATCCCGGTACGCCCTCTCCCCAGCAGCCTGCCCCGGCGGTGTCCTGCAGAGACTAACGCTCCACCTAGACAGCATGGCTGAACAAGAATCGACGCGACTGGTACAAGCACCACCTGCGCATCAACTACTCGACCCGCGCCGGAACCTTTTCCTCGGACCCCCGCGACGCTCGCCAACGACGACTAAGCGGTCTTGAAGGCCCCAGTTCTTCCGCCCTCTTCCAGCACAGCTTCCCCCAGCCCCAAGACCTTGATGCCGAGGAGGAAGAGACGAGGGAACGAGAAGGAGGACAGAAGGGAGACGTGCAGTCGTCAGAGACAAGCGGCACGAATGGGAAAGCTGCTGCGACTGCGGTATCCCCACCTGCCTTGCAAATACCTCGAAGTTCAGACCAGAGAGAGGATGTGGTGACCGAAGCGGAAGAAGAGCACTGGGTTGACGCGCCTTCTGAACCTGAGGACGAGGATGGGGACAGCGACGACGATGACGACGACGCCCACCATGACCATGACCAAGGCATCCCCGCCCCTCCACTGACAACACGACGGTCAAGCGAAAAGACATTTGTCACCGCATCCTCTATACCAATAACAGAGCCAGACAATAGCGAAATCACAGAAGACCAAGACCCTCAACAGGAGGAACGGCACCCGGTAGAGCAAAACGGCTTACAAGTCCCTTCGAACGGAAGCGAACCAGGATCAAAGTCGCTGGGCAAGCGCCCGCTACTCAGCATAGAGAGCCATGGACATCCTGCGTCAACCACTGGAGCTGCTTCTGTAGATGCTAATTCAACATCGTCTCTGTTGCCCAACGCTGACACCAACAAGGCACCCGCTCTCGCTGACATCGATCCAAACCCACCCGCCAAAGGCATACTGGCCAAGGTTAGAAGGAAGTCCGAAATGATGTCTTCTTCCTCTGGGCAAGCACAGGGCGCAGACGCCTCACCAGGAGAGTTGACGCGCAAGAAGTCGACAATGCGAAATCTGGTCAAGTTCGATGTCCCGGAAAATTCGAGGCGTGCAGCCGTCCACCTCAAAGCCAAGAAAGCACAGATGACGGTCCAGCGAGCAGGTACCAGGGTTCGACGAAAGCATATCAAAGAGGGGCTTGTTGTTAAGATGGAGCGCATGCTTGTTCGTGTCGATGCTGCAGCAGAGGTTCCGGAAGATTTTGATGAGAACGTCAGCCAAAGAGTCGTGTCTCGCGTCAAGAACAAGTGGCGCGAGTACATGGTTGTCTGCCGTCACAGTCACGTTGATGGTGCTGACTTCGTGCTGCAATTCTACCAGACTCGAGTCATTCCAGAAATCGAAAATGCAGGCGGGGGCAAAAAGGCGGCATACGAAATTCCACTCAGTCGCAAGACCAGCAAGGCCAACCTATACTCTGCGCTCGACAAGACCGTGGTCGTTTCAACGCCAAGACGTCCCGAGACCTTGATCTTTATCATGCAAGCTCGCACTTCCTCGAGCGCTGCCGAATGGTATACCTTCATCAGGAACATACTAGGTTGGCAGCGCGCTTCTGAACTCCAAATCAATATACCCGACATGAGCCTAAGCGTGAGCATAGTAAATCCTTTTGCTCAGCTGGAATCCTCTCAGAACAAAGTACAATGCGCGGATAACACCGACGAAGCCTTGCTTAAAACCATGCAAGAGGAGGAAGCTGTTGCAGAGAATCTGATACGACGCTGTCTGGATCAACTGGAAGACGAACCGCAATGGGCCGATGTCCTAGCATCATGGATGAAAGACCAACGCATTGGTCTTGCCTGGAAGCGCTACGACCGGCTTGAATGGATCCACGGGGCCAATGAACGCAAGATGTATGGCACCATTGCCATGCTCAAATCACATGAGCTAGAGCTGCGACCCAAGACACATTACCCCACGACTGCCATTACGCGAAAGAAGCACAAGACGCTTACCGAGCCGGTCCCAGTTGAAGGCTTCCTCATTCGACTTACTGGACAACGGGGTCGGTCTAAGCGCCTAGGGCTCATGTACCACAAGCAATTGTACTTTGCTAGTCATGATCAGTACTTGGTCTTTTCTCGCCCGACCAAAGCGACTCCGCCACCGCCACCAAAGTTACCAGCTTCAGAGAACGCGGCTGTGCCAACAGCGGATGCAGTTAGAGATGCGGTACCAGACAGCTGGGCAGTAAACCCATACAGCCTGCAGCATGGTCAGATTGAATGGCTCATGGAAGGTCACTCTGGGACAACCGAGGCCAGACGACTGCACGATGAGGATGCAGCAGATGAGGCTGAGCGCAAAGAACAAAATCTCCTCAACTGTGACGGTTATATTAACCTGACTGACGTTGTCAAAGTCCGCAAAGCCCGATTGGGCGCTAGTGCTGCTGATGAGGACCTTGAGGAAGGTTCGGACGTGGACTTTGACGAAGACATTGATGACTCTATGAACAACGACGGAGTGACTAATGACCTGGATCTTGATCGTACCCTGGAGCTTGTTATGAAGAATGGCCTCATCATTCGTCTACAGGTATGTGTCTATAGAGTGCTTGCTTGTGTGCCGTTCTAACATAATCATTAGGCTGCGAATAAAGCCCGTCGAAAAGAGTGGATACAGCATCTCCGCGCCCTTGTCAAATACTGGAAGCATCGCACTGCATCTGATATTGCTCTCTACAAATCTACACGGAGTCGCAACCTTAGCGCCCTTAAGATTGACGAAGAAGCTGAAGCGCATGTGGGCCAATTTGCTCGCAAGTGGGAGGTAACGCAGTCCTTTGCTTCGCCTGAGCTTTACAACATGTGTGGCATCGCTTGCTGCCGACCTATTCACATGAGCGGAATGCTTTACCGCAAGCCTCGTATACATGCTCCGTTTACGCGGTGCAGCGTCCTGCTCACGGCTGGTACACTTCTCATCTTCCGTGATGTATTGCGAAGCAGAAGTGGAAAACAACTCGCGCATGTACACCATGAGCGAATGGCCAATCTGGACCTCAAGGACTGCTACATCTATTCTGGTCTTCTCACCGAGAATGATTTGCTATATCAAAATCAGACTTTCGATGCAAACAAGCCAGGGCACCACGCACTTCCGCGCATCTACCTCGAAGATGGCTGGACATCGACTGATGAAGACGTCATGACGACGTTTGTCATCTGGCATGGAAAAGCCAAAAGTTGGTTCCGCGCCGAAGAGGGCGCCGGGGGCGGTGAACAAAATCGAAAAGAAGGAAAGAGAACCAAGTTGAAGAGGGTGGCCAAGCTGGGGAGCAAAGGTCGTAGCGTAGTCTTTAGGGCTCGGTCACGTGCAGAGCGCGACCATTGGGTGCTGGCAATTCAGAATGAGATTGAAAGAGTGCAGGAGAGTGCCGCTGACTTTAGACTAGAAGAGAGCATTCAGTGAGTGATATGGGGTTGGGATAACAATTGGTGTGTTACGGCGCAGAGGACCGAGGTGGGTCCCGAGGTAACGCAGGATGCTTGTATCATATGTACGCTGGAATATTGTTTTATGGTGGAGGGCATTGGCGTTTTAATGATGGCTAGCATTCATACTGAGCATATTTAGCGTTTTCTAACATTGTTTAATAGCTAGTAATACCATATCCGTTACCTAAAGCTCAACTTGCTGCGCTCGAGAAGTGTAAGCACCCCTGATGTGCTGTACTGTTGGCGGCCTTGGTACTTAGTTTAAGTGAACGACCATTTCATGTCCAGTCTATCGCGCTCACTATGCAACACACCGATCGACTAGGAGATTTTCTATCACTCTTCTAATCTCCGAGCTTATCGTGCAACGGGGTTTAGCAGTCTTTGCTTTCACTTTCACTACACTACTGCACGGCCCACCCCACACAACAAACGCTCCCCCTCGACGATAAATACCCCGCAGCGGTGCATCACAACCTCTTCTCCTCTCTACCTCCACCAGAGTTATTCTCGTTAATATCAAAGGTCTTCTCTCTTTTCAACCACACTCGTTCAAAACCACTACCAACCAACCGCAATGGCTATACTCAAGCCACTCCTCCTCGCCGCCACGGCGCTCATCAACATCGCTGTTGCCAGCACCGCATTCTCCTCTGGAGCCGCCCCGGCAGTCACGTCGGTCCACCTTGTCACATCCGTCACCTTCGTCTCCGGCTTGCCGGACGCGCACAGCAAGACGTGTGATACGACTACGGTGACTCAAGTTGTGCCTCCCACCACGGTGACTGTGACTGCGATCCCTAGCACAACTGCTCACTCTTCTACTGTTACTTCCGGTCTCGACAAGTCCGTTCATGTCTCTTTGGTCCCGGCTAAGTCGACTGTAAGTCACCTATTGTGTTTACACAAACCCCACTATCTTGCTGTTGCTTGATCTGATGTTGCTGAAATAGACTATTTCGACTGCTACCTTGCACGAAACCAAGACCGCCACCTCCACGACTAAGCCGCCTTACAACGTTCCTATCAACTCGACGGTTCCCGTATCTACGCCTACGCTTACCTTTTCGCACTCGCATCACGCTAACTCTAGCATTGTGCTCCCGACTGGAACGGGTGTGTCGCCTAGTGCTTCTTACTCGCCTCCTTATACTTCGCCTGAGTTCAACGCTGCTACGGATGCTAAGAACGTGGCTGATGTTGTGCTTGTTGGAGGTGTCGTCTTGGCGCTTTTAGGGGCTTAGATGGGAGGGCATGTTCAGGGCTCTTGCATGCTGGTTTCCGGTCTTACTGGCGACAAGAAAGGGGAGTAATGGAAGTCTGGTAGTAATGGCTAGATGAGTCTTCTTCGTTCGATAAGGAATGGATCGAGGATATGAGGGTGATATGGTCCTGTAGTAGATACTTGCAGAAAGAAAGAAATGACAACTTGTGATTCCACAATCCGATTGAACTGATTGATAAAGGCCGAGTGATTAATCTCTCACCTTGCATTCTGTCTACCACTTTTTTTGGGTGTCGCACTCGCTCAAGTCCCTCACAGAGGCAAGCGACGTCGACTAGCTGCCTCTCCCAAACCAGCTTAGCGCTGTTTGCCCCACGCGTGAGCGGCGGGGCGAAGGTCTCACACAGTGGGTTGGGCAAATCTTTGAGTCACTTTGCCCAACATCGACGACGGTCCACTTTGCACACGACTTTACCATTTTTGCTTTCCGGTTGAAAGTAAAAACTACTCCTGGACCTCACCTACCACCTTAGGCTTAAAAGGGAAAAATCGATACCACACACGAAGCGAGCGATCGAGCGAAACAACCCACGGTCCCTCACCAAACCCAACCCAACCCATACATACATCAAGAAACGATCAAAAGACACATATTCAACATGTCGCTCACGAATTGCCGGTTTTACGAGGAGAAGTACCCCGAGGTGGAGAGCTTCGTCATGGTCAATGTCAAGCAAATCGCCGAGATGGGTGCATACGTAAAGCTACTGGAATATGGTAAGTCCTCAAGAACCACAAACAGTGCAAACGAACGAAGCCCAAACTAACACAATGTAGACAACATCGACGGCATGATTCTTCTCTCTGAACTGTCGCGACGACGTATCCGATCGATTCAAAAGCTGATTCGCGTGGGCCGCAACGAAGTCGTCGTCGTACTACGTGTTGACAAGGACAAGGGCTACATTGACTTGTCAAAGCGCCGAGTATCTCCTGAGGACATCGTCAAGTGCGAGGAGCGGTACAACAAGTCCAAGATGGTGCACAGCATCATGCGCCACGTTGCGGAGAAGACGCAGACCCCGATTGAGGAGATTTACCAGACGATTGGATGGCCACTGAACAAGAAGTACGGACACTCGATTGATGCATTCAAGCTGAGCATTACCAACCCAGAGGTCTGGAATGATGTTACCTTCCCCAATGAGGTCGTCAAGGAGGAGCTGCAGAGTTATATTGGCAAGAGGTTGACACCACAACCCACCAAGGTCCGCTCGGATATCGAGGGTATGTGGATAGCGATTATGAAGTGTGGATGTGTTGCTGATTTTTTTTTGCAGTTACGTGCTTCGGATACGAGGGTATTGATGCTGTCAAAGAGGCTCTGCGATGTGCAGAGGCCAAGAACACACCCGAGAACCAGGTCAAGGTCAAGCTGGTGTCGCCACCTCTCTATGGTATGTTGGAGGAAATTTTGCAGGTAGCAGACCAGTTACTAACATGTCAGCAGTCCTCACCTCGCAATGTCTGGACAAGAACGCAGGTATCGCATGCCTCGAACAAGCCATCCTGGACATCAAGGAGAACATTTCAAAAGCAGGCGGCGACTGCCAGGTCAAGATGGCGCCCAAGGCGGTTACAGAGAACGATGACGCGGAGCTGGCAGCGCTCATGGAGAAGCGCGAGCGTGAGAACCAGGAGGTTAGCGGTGACGAGGATGAGAGCACGAGCGATGAGGGTGGTGTTGCCGAGGCTGATTAAGCGGGCTTGGAGAGCAGGAGAATGATTTGGTACGAGCAATGATGATCACGATGGGAAAGCAAGGGTCAAAAAGTGACTACCGGCGTTGGAGGCGTCGATGATACAAAGGGATTCCAGCGTTTTGCGAGAGCATCCACAATGTATGTATAGCATCCGTCCTGTCCAGCACCTGTTTTCCAGCTATTTCTTTGGAGAAGAGGGCATTGAGTGTATGAGAAGAAGAACGAAAGAACGAAAGAACGAAAGAGAGAAATCAATTCAAGAAGACCTCGAATCAAGAGCGAATCCAAGATCCAAGATCCAAGAATGACAAGGCGCGGCGTTGAGCGGAGAGGGGCGGAGAAAGAGGGCAGAAGAGGAGCTTGGGCCGTGCGTGGGCGTGGAGTGGGCGGGAGATGGGCGCCATGACGCTGCACATGTGGGTTTGCGAGCGTTGTCAATCCAGCTTTTTGGCGCCTTCGCAGCCAAACGCTAACTGGCGCAATCCTTGTTGGACCAAGCATTTCTGCTATCTTGTCGGCTGCCTTGCTGTCGCTCTTTGTTATCGTCTATTATTTTTTGTTCCGCACTTCTTGGAGCAGTTCGACGGGGCTTTCTCTCCACAGCGGGCCAAGGATACGCATCGCAAGCTTGATATCCTAGTTAATACCTACCGCAACAATGGTCAGGTGGGGTGAGCTGTTCAGCTCCAGCGAGGGCCATGATAGGAGACACAGGATACATGATGAGATGAGCGCGCGTACGAGAGCTTTTGGACTGCGGCCCCGGGTGGAGAATACACAGCTAACATGTGCCAGTACTGCCGACCGCCCACCGCGAACGCCATATGCCGCCCCCGCCCATTGATCCCAAAGATGTCACGATAGTAGCCCTGCGATTGAAACATCAGATTGAGCAGGTTATTCCCTGCGAGCTCGAAGAGGACCAGATCACGCGCGCCCATAGCCAGATCATAACCGATGCCGTGCTGAAGACGGCGCGAGAGGCGGGAGCTCCCGAGCACAGTGCCTGTGTCGTATATTGCTTGCTACATGTCAAGAAGTGGTTCAGCACACAGGCAAAGGACGAGCTATGGGACGCCGACCTCCACCATGTCCGCGCGGTTGCGGCCGAGGTCATGGCAAAACGCTTGATTGAGGCTGAAGAGGATATCAACTACCTCTTTGAGGAGGTCCTGCTCAAGCGCTACTCGACACTTGTCGACGGCGAGCCTTCTGTGCCTACCAATGCTGTGGAAAAGGCGGTCGATTTACATGCCGTAACAGTTATTGGATCGTCAGGATACCAGAAGTGCATCAACTACCTGTGGCGCGGATGGATTGTCCAGGACGATGAAGACCCAAGCCGTTTTGTTACGTACGACAACAAGACAAATACTAGCTACTGGGCTCATCTGGATCCGGACCGGATGCGAGTGCCCAAGTACCAGAACTGGGTCCAGATTGGCATGTCCTTCATCTACCTGGGCCTCTTTACTGGTGCCATCAACACTATCAATGCTTCGGGCGACTTTGATGTTGTCGAGTGTCTGCTTTATCTCTTTACGCTCGGCTTCATATGCGATGAGGCAAACAAATTCTGGAAGGTCGGCCGGTACTACATTTCCTTTTGGAACATGTTCAACAGCACGATGTACGCCCTGCTTACAATCTCGTTTGTCCTGCGCATCGTTGCGTTTGGGCACCCCAGGAGCACCGATGATGATGGCAGGCGTGACTACTTCAATAAGCTGAGCTACGACTTTTTGGCTTTTACTGCCCCTATGTTTTGGATGCGTCTTTTGCTCTATCTCGACTCGCTTCGGTTCTTTGGCGCCATGTTGGTTGTGCTCAAGGTTATGATGCGCGAGTCGCTCATATTTTTCCTCCTCTTGTTTGTTGTTATTATTGGTTTCTTTCAGGCTTTTATCAGTCTTGACGTTCTGGATGATGATTTGATGAACGACACTATTTTCATCATGCAGGCCATGCTCAACGCCATTATGCAATCCCCCGAGTTCGAAGGCTTTGATAACTTCTCGGTAAGTATTCTAACTAACCTTTCCATTCTTGTGAAAAAACTAATATGTGCGCTACATAGCCTCCATTCGGTATAATCCTCTACTACATTTTTACTTTCGTCGTAATGGTCATCCTCCTTAATGTCCTCATTGCCCTATACAACTCCGCCTACGAAGACATCACCTCGGCCGCTATCGACGAATACATGGCCCTCTTCTCCCAGAAAACAATGCAATTCGTGCGCGCTCCAGACGAAAACGTCTTCATCGCCCCTTTCAACCTTATCGAAATGGTTTTTCTCATCCTCCCCTTTGAATGGTGGATGGACCAGAAACGCTACGACCGTCTTAACGATATGGTCATGGCTGTAATCTACTCCCCGCTCCTCCTCATCACCGCCATGCTCGAGCAGCAAGAAGCTTGGATTGTAAAAGAGAATCGACGCCGCGGCGAGGACGATGAAGATGTGACAATGGAGTGGGAGCAGGTGCTCCAAGGTTGCGATTTTGAAGCTGATGGCTGGGACAAGAAGGTGCAGGCTTGCAAGCCCAATGTTGAATTCGACACTGCGGTTCTTGAGGTCCGCGCGCTGAGGAAGGAAGTTGCAGAGCTGAAGGATATGCTTAAGACGTTGGTCGAAGGCGGTGTTAGCCCTGGTGGTGGTGGGGTGGGCAAGTGGGGTGGTGAGACGCTTGGTGAGAGTGGTCTGGCGAAGCTGGATGTGAGTAGATTGGCCTTGCAGGGTGAAAACTCCGAGAGTGGTGCTAGGGATGAGTAAGTGTTCTTTTTTCCTCTTTCTGTTTCCTTCTATCCTGTCGATTTCTCTCTTTTTTTTTGTATACTACTCGCGCGCGTGTGTGTTTGCTTGTTGACTTTTTTGTGCTTTTCTGCATCATCTAGGCGCTATAGGAGCGAGTTTGGTGAGAGTAATGCGAGTGATTGGCATTCGGATTGATCGAGAGGACTCCCTCTCTTCTCTCTGTCGACACACTTCAATATGCTTAAGGGGGTCCTTTCTCTCCGTCAGCCTTTCTTTTCTCGCTTTCTTTCCAAACACCGATGTCTGGGCGGGCATGAAGGCTAGGAGTGATGGTACGAGATCGTGTAGAGCCAGTTATATTTTATGTTCGATACGGGAAATGCAACGATTCTCCTTCTTTCTTTCTTTCTTTCTTTCTTTCTTTCTTTCTTTCTTTTTACTGGATTTCATGTCGCCCATTGCAATGTCTCGCACATGAGATTGTGTAGTGCTCACAGGAAACGGTAAGAATGGGAGAAACAGGTGACTTCAGACGTGTTGATACACTTCAGTCAATGAGATTGATGGCTATCTGGTCTTTTCCCCCTTCTCCAAAGTCCTCTTCTCTCTTGTATGGGACCTTTACCCAAGATCGCAGTGTCCGAATTCCCTCACCCCAGGGCCTCCAATAAATTAATGAAGCGGAAGTCATGGAGGCAGAAGGAGAAAATTCGGATGCCGGGAGCGTCAGGGTGAGAAAGGTGTAAGGTTTATTGAATGAGGGGTAGTTGACAAGGGTAGGATGTGGCTGGGGTGATTATTTTGAAGATTTCGGGTTTGTCGGGGCAGGGGTGGGCGGATGTTGGAAGTGGGGTTTGCAAGGGATGGGGTGGTAGCAGACAGTAGGTCGAGCGTTTATCGGCTTTTATATGTTTGGGCTAGTTTGGGGTTTGGGTGCTATTTCATGGTTGCTCTTGTGTGCGAGACTGCCTGAAAAGCATGGTATTATGATTAAGCTGTCAGTTGAATCGTATGTGGTTTTGGCTGAAGATGGGCCATTCGAGGGCTTGGGTTTTAATGCTGGGATTAAGACGCCTCTTTTAGTAGTTTTCACTTGATTTTCGAAAGATTTTTCTCTGGCCACGGTTCATGAAGCATGGGATGAGATGAGTGGGGTTTCGCGTTCTGGTGCATTAGCGGGTGGTGTCCGTAGGTGAAGGCAAGACGACCGGTTATGGCAAACTGTACATCCTTTACCACGGCGATCCAATTGGGCTTTTGAGATTCTGGTTTGCACCTAAAGATCTCGCCTAGTGCAGTAACCAGTAGCTTGTGACTATCATCACTTGAGTAGGTGGGTCCGTGATCAACGCCTCCCTACTTAGCTCCGCAATCAATGTAACCATGCACTTGGAAAAGTCGGGGAACGGCGACAAGAAGTAGTTCACTCCTGAACTATCAGTTCCATCTAAGATAAAAGAGTAGCGCACTCCTCAAAGCTTAGCCTTAATCCCGAAGCTCTTCTCCACAGCCTCCACTCCCTTACTCGCAACGTCCTCGTCTTGACTCGGCGTCCCAGTACTACAACCTATAGCTCCAACAACAGCTCCATCTTTCTTGATCGGGACTCCACCCGCAATCGTCATAAATCGGCCTCCGTTGCTGTGATTGATACCGAAAGCGGGACCGCCAGGCCAGACGACGTCTTTGTAGATGGAAGTTGGAGCGCGATGACCAGCCGCAGTAAAGGCCTTGTCGATGGCAGTGTTGATTGAAGTGAATTTAGCGCCTTCCATGCGTGCGAATGCGAGAAGATGGCAGGCGTTATCCACAATGGCAATGTTCATCGGGACATTGATTTCCTTGGCTCGTGCCTCTGCAGCTTCGAGCGCGACGCGCGCACCGGCGAGGGTCAGTGTTGGAACCTCCTTGGTGCTCATTTTGGCGGCTGTAAAACAATGGTTCACTTGTGTGTTGGTAAAGGCGAGCTACTGTATGTTAAGATGACGCTGCGTGTTGAGACGCGTCGAATGTTGGTTCCGGATATTCACGGACCTATGTCGTATACAATCGTTGCGTTGTAGAACTCACGTGACACTGGCTTGCGAATGCGGCACATCACGTGATAAGTATTTGCATCATGTCGCGTCAACTTCGGGATGCTGTATGAGCTCAAGCTTCTCGTTTCTAGAGAGAAAACTCTCACTAGTAAATGCAGTGCAAAACCAAGTCCTGAGAAGGCACATGAGAGACATGTGACGAAAATCTCGTCGGCTCGCGGCCTGTCTGGATCTGGAAGTCCGGCGTGTGCACTCTGGCCTGTTGCCTTTATTTTACTAAGTATCATCGTCATCGAGAGTAAGATACAATGATGCGCCTACAGTCGGTCGGAAATTTCATCTACACCCATTCATCAAAACTCCTTACGTTGACCGACGAATGATTGGTACTTCTAGCTTCGCCTGGCCTAGAATGTACTATTTGTAATTATGGCTCCTCTTATTACAAGAAATAAACTACATGTCATAGTATTAAGATAACCATATTGAACCACTGAAAGGTACGGTGTCAGAGGGCATAGTACGTAACAACATTCAGCATGCTACAGCTCGATCGGAAGGTTTCGGTAACTGTAGATCACATAGACTATATGCTGTACGACATTCTCTAAATCATCTAGCATGGTAAATCGCCAACCCTTAGCGTATCCACATATTCTACTAGGATTCTGTCAGGGTTAGGGGAAGAATTCTATGTCCGGCATCTTCGTCCACAAATAGCGAACGCAATGATACGGATATTCACCTTATGGCACTTCCAGCCTTGGAGAATATCTCGGACTCACCGCTTGTTGTGAAGCTGTCAAGGATAGAACTGAGGCTAAGTATACCCCTGCCTAAGTGAACGTTTAACTTTCCTTGTTGAGATCCTTGAGACGTTACGATCTCTTATTGGCTTCTCAAGCTACATATTGTACCACCGACGCCGGAAAACATATGTACTGAGGCGCCCTGCTTGATGAGCTAGATGCAGCGGCTTCATTGGCACTTGGCGGTACCGCAAAACAATGCCTCATCTTGACAGCGAGCATCCTACGTATGTACTTAACACAACCCGTCAGACCAGGGCGGTGGGCCCCGATCTACCCACCTCAATCAAGGATGCATAGATGCAACATCCCTTTTGGCGTGGTGCGGGTGTTATCCGGGGACTTTCTGTGTTGTTCATTTCAAATCCTGGACACATTTGCCAGATTTGATAAGCATGTGTAGTACACGATACGAGGAGCGAAGTTTCTGCATTTCATGCGCAAGCTCGCGCAGGACGTACCGAGCCGACCAATGTGCAGGGCGCTATTTCTCCTTGGCCGGTCCGAAAGGTGATTTGATCATTCGCAGACGGTGAATTGAGAGAGAGAGATATCATTACCCACCTGCTGTACATGTCTGGTGTATTCTAGTAAGCAGTACGACAAGGCAGCCAGTGTGTCGGGAGAAGATGCGCAGCATCGTTAAGGCAAGCTTAGATGCAGGGGTCAGCCACATACCGAAAAGATGCCGACGCTAGTCCCGAAAAGGGCGTGTACAGCTGTGGCTCACCGTGCAAGATGTGCCTTTGGGTACTACCATTTCATCTACACCTAGTACTTGCTTACATCTACACACCCTCGCCTGGTATGCACCAACCAGGATTATCCGCAAAATCTCCGATGGGCTTTGCCCCGCACATGGATACGGGTCAAGTCCTGCATGGTCTGTCACACGTCTTAGGTATCCCCGTGTCAGGCGCACTGCATGTGTTTCCGAGTCAGGGGGAGGCGACTCGTGGTGGAGAGCGTTGATCTTCTACTAAGTATGCATGCACGTTAGCCCTTGCTCAGCAAGAATTTCTTTACTTGCCTCTGAAGCTTGCACTGCCAACCACACTTAGCACTGCTAACTTCCATTGGTTCGCTGACGGCAAGCATACCGCCACTACGTATACTGCTAACATAGTCTGGTCGCGAAGAATGCGGTCGGGCCACTACTGCCGGCCGTCAGATAGCATCCTGCATAGTGCTTTGGGCTTCAGCATACATAGCTTCACTAGTCCTGGCCGCGTCACGTTGCATGTTATCTGCCTTCCCTGGTTCTCCTCCCATTTATTCCCGCTGCCCGCTGCTCAGCCTACGACTGCCACCATTCGACTCTGAGGATCGGTTCGCCCGTTTGGACTGACATCGAACACACACTGCTCTCTACACCACATTCGCAACAACAAGTTGGGGCAAGATGTCAGGTGGCGTTTTCTGTGTCTGGGCAAACCTGCCAGAGAAAGTGACAGAATGGTACAAGGACGAATACTTGGCGGCACAGGACCACGTGGATTCTGTACACACGATACAATGCGAAATCACTGCGAGCGGCATGGAACATGAGCCCGTCGGAAAATTAGATGCGCCATGGCCTTGGCTTACAGTCTACGAAGTTAAAGATGTCGCCCAGACAAACAAAGAAGTCGATGTCGTATGCAATGACCTTCCGGAGGTGGCAAAGAGTGGTCCACTCAAGCATGTGCACTTCGACGTAAGGTCATACCGAGAAATCAAAAGATGGCAGGATAGCGATTGGGAAGGCGATGGGAGTGCGGGTAAGAAGAATAATCAAAAAGAAGCACACCCTAGGCTAATGCGGCCAGACATCGAACATGTCGCGAGCGTAGCAGCTATGGAATGGACGATGGATGATGACAAAGAAGAGGAAATTCTGAAGTACTACTATGACGTCGTGGGGCCTACCATTTCCAGCTCCCCAGATGTGCTGCGATTCCGTCTCTTCAAGCTCGACCGTGCAATTGTTGTCGACAAGGACCAGAAGAGCACTATTTTGGATAACAAGAATCTTCATAAATACTTTACTCTCGTCGAGCTCGCATCGGAAGAATGGCCTTGGGACGTTGTTGTCGACATTGCCGAGAAGCCAGGTTGGGCAGAGTACTTTGAAACACAGACAGTCGTGGTACGTTGCGTAACCCAAAACAAGACACCATTCACTAATCAAATACAGAAATGGCAGCTTAGTCATTACCTGGTTAGGTCGGCACACTGGAAGGGCAAGGAAGAATCCTCCGCTTCCTAAGAGGCGTTGAGGCAAGCGGATCTCGGGCCATCAGATCATGCTTGTATCTCATCTCCATCCCGGTTGATGACTATGCACTACTCGGGGTCTACCAATATAACCAAAATCGCGACCGGCTCTTGTCTACTACATGGAGACATGAAGATTAGGAAGTTTGGTACCCTTCAATCGTTTCGGTCTCAACTGGTCATGCGCCAGACCCTCCTCTGAAACTATTATCAACCCAACAGAAATAGTGGCCTAGACCATATTCCATGAGAAGAAGGAAGAAGCTATAGATCGATATTTACCGCTTCATTGCGACATGTTCGAAATTAGACAAGAACCTAATCTATCCGTATGCGCATATGAATCTGGCACCAAAGCCTTACAATAAACAATTTATCCGCATCACTCACCTGTTGATACTCCGCTTCCCCTACTTTCCTCATGATCTCCGCCGGATCCTCAGTCTTAGGCGCCCCAATCTTTCGAATCGCCTTATACACGCCCACCGACGAGTACCCTATAAGCCCGCAAGCGCCTAGAATAATTGTCCCAAGTTAGAAACATCCGAAATCCAGCAAAAAGTTCAGAAAAGCCACAACTAAAGAAAAAAAAGGAGAAAGATCTCACCAGCAGTAGGCTTGAAAGCCAGGTTGGCAATCCCCGTCATGAGGCCTGTACTAAACCCAATGATGCCATTCTTCTCTGCACCGTCAATGGGTTTAGTAGCAAAATCACGGATTCCATCGCCAAGGCCGTGGCCAAAGCTTTTTGCGCTCACCAGCAGACCGCTTCTTAATCCCGTCACGTCCTCGTATACCCGCACTTCTTCGCCGTACGTCTTGGGCAGGTTATGGAAGCCCCTCGTGACGCCGTGCATGATCAGTGCAGGACTCTTTAGGCTGGTTGTTACGACACGGCCGAGACCCTTGGCCGTGCCGAGCGCGACTTTGCCGGCGGCATGGGGTATGCGTTTCGAATCCGACGAAGAGGATGCCGAAGGTGTAGAAGTGGATTTAGGCTCTTCCTCGGTGGTCTGGGAAGAAGATTCTTTGGTCGAATGCGAGGTGTGGAATAAGGGACTGGCTTGCTTGCCTAGTTCGATAGGGCCTGCGGCGAGACCCAGCATGATGCCACCGACAACGTCGTAGCAGCCGAGTAGGGCGCCAGATATGGGGTCGGTGGGGTCACGCTTCATATCTGTATCTTTAGTAATTCTTGCATTATCGTTAGCATGATTCAGTTTGCTAGTCAGGGTCTATGGTAGTCGGCTTACAGGCGGAGCTCTTTGGTTTCCAAAAGTCCTTCTTTGGTTAGTACGGCTGCCGCAAGACTCGATAGTGGTATGTTCTTCCTTTTCGCTAGCCATGCTGCGGGCCGGTCGTGCAGTACACTGCATGAGCGTACTCTAGTATGATTTTCTGCTGCTACTACTGGGTCGGAAAGGTGGTAGTGGCGTACGTGCGATGCAGATATTGGACGTACGAGCGGCGTACCTTCTCCAATAGGCGTGTGGTCGTCGGAAAAACGGCCCTGCGGCACAGCACCACTCTGGTTATGCGAATCTGATGGCGGTTGCAAATATCTTTGGGAATGGTGGTCTTCGTGTATTGGCGAGTCAGCTCTCGGTGTTTGGTGCTCTTCATAAGCTGGTGAAGGAGGGGGTTGTCCTTGATTGTCCTCGTGTGCCGGCGATAGCAAACGCTGTGTTGGATGATTCTCGTGCTCTGGAGACCGATCTTCTACACGCGACTTCGTGCTTCGAATCTGTTCTGCGTCTATTGTGCGCTCTTCGTTTGCCACTAGTTGGGTGTACTCTGGTAGACATATGTTGTCAAGGTCGAGACTCTCTCGCGGGGTATATTCACCAGCCGATTCTTCGTCAGCTGAATTCTCATGTAGTGAAGCAGAAGCTTCAGTATCTGCGTCAAGATGTTAGATAAGTCCAATAAATTCTCTGCATACTGTTCTATCATACCCGTAGCGTTTGGGGTCTTTCCATGCCCGCTTTCAGAGAGCGTACTTAGTTCTGTCATTTTCCACAACCAAAACAAGTGCTAACTACTAAGAGATCGCAAGACGAAGAAATCCAATTCGGAAAGATCTCTCGCCAAACTAATGAGACAGCCTTTGTGGTATTGAATGCTCAACACCCGCACCAAATACAGAGGCGTTACAGTCCGAGGCTGACAGCGCTAAACCGTATGGGGGTGACTTCAAGTACTGGCGGAAGGCTTGGTACTCCGACGGGTCTGATTCGGTTCCGTCTATGTAATGTACAACCAGGGGTGGATCTTTGTGTGAAGGAAAAGGCTCATAAAACGGTTCCCACTATACAATTTTGGAAGAGATACGAGTTCCGTTATTACCGCTCTGAGGTCGTGTAGGCGGTTGTCGTGGCTGAAGCATACAGGTCCCCTGCGAGGCTGACGTGGTCATCAGACTACGCGCGACGTGTCAAGCCAAATTGAAGCCTCATTCGCTCTGGTAAACATCACACAAGCTTTTCTGCAAGAGACAATTCTTGTTTTGGGCTCGCTGGCCAACACTTGCGGCTTCTACTAAGATATTTACATAATTGGAAATGTATAAATTCTTCGGATTCGATCGCATTACCTCTTGAGGTCTAGATTTCCTACATTCAGAATGGGATACCTCAAAATTGAATCCTACACACGGAAATCTTCGATCAGATTCGGCTAGAACAATAGCCACTCTGCTCTAGAGCCACTTAGAACGACGTTGTTGTCGTAATTGAATATTGAACCGTGTATTGTATTTGGTCCACGCCCAGTGATGAGTTGAAATAAAAGTGCATTAAATGTCGATAGTGCTGTTTAATTTAGAACTGCTTGAGAATGAACCACTCGTAGTGCATAATCTGCTGTTATTCTTGAAAAAACATATGGCACTTGGAAGTATACAAAAACAAGAGCTTCGTGCCAAAAGTGCAGCCTTCTCTTTTTGTACCGTTCCCCACAAGTAGCAAAAAGACACAATGGCCAAAGAAAAGGCAAAAAGTAATGAATGGGTCTTACCGCGACTCGAACGCGGGGCCTCTCGCAAGCTGTGCTCGGGAAATCCCTAAGCGAGAATCATACCACTAGACGATAGGGTTGTTAGAACTGAAGGAGATGATGAATTGTGATGTGGTTGCTTACCCATAAGACCAAACACGTGATTTCGATGGAAAAACGTAGAATTTAATGTAATATATTGTCTTTAAAGATAGATTTTCAGAACATCAAAGGTTTCGAGTTGTAAGTGGGGCTGTTCCGAGATGACTCGAACTCACCAACTGCATTTGGCAAATACGGATACAACAACGGCACGCCCTACGCTGTCATTACCACGACTAGAACATTCCAAGTAACGGCATGGGGTAGGCAATATCTTGGCTTGGTCAGGCTTTCTCAAGAGCTAGTCACGAACCAAATGTTTTTAATGTTTGGATACTCCTGTTGAGCCATCGCACCTGGATCTATCCTACATATTACACGCAAGCGAACATGGCCCAGCCGAACGTGAATATTCGCCTTGCCATCTTCCCAGAAGACAAACAAACTGTGGAACAATTGTTCCTTGCCTATGCAAAATCACTTCCCGTTAGCCTCGACTTCCAAAACTTCGAACACGAGCTGGCCGAATTGCCGGGAAAATATACAATTGAAAAAGGAGGTGCAGTATGGTTGGCGTACGCCTCGTCCCATGCGTCAGAATCAGTATCTTCAACAACATCACTTGAAATGAATGGAAAAACACAGCCCGACTCCAACTCAACAAGAGGTGAAAGGGCGGTGGGATGTATAGCCATACGGCCATTTTTCTCTACGCCGACTACCGCCGAATCCTCAGCTTTGCTAGCGAACTCGACTTCGTCAAGCACCACAACATGCGAACTAAAACGACTTTTCTTAACCCCAGAATCGCGAGGGCTTGGTGCGTCAAAGCTCTTGATGGATGTCGCAGTCTCTTATGCGACGAAATGGGGCTACAAGGAGATGTTGCTTGACACGCTGAGGACGATGACACCTGCGCGGAAATTATACGAGAAGTATGGGTTCGAGGAAATTGAGAGCTACTATGAGAACCCAGAAGACGCTGTTTTCTATCGCCTAGCTTTATAAGGAAGCTCACATGTAGCTATTTATACCATTCTATGCGAAATCATACATGGGCGCATGTAAAAAGGAATAGTAGTGGGGCTGAAAGTGGTTGATGTGTGGCGTAAAGTAATTAAGTTCAGGGGCGTGATCGCGCGTTGGAAATATCGTCATCGATTTCTCGCCTAGCGCGTCTTCCTTTGTCGCGACACCCGTAGACGACTACCCCGTTCAAAAAGTTGTCGCCACTTATCCCTAACACCAGCATTGGAAGTTACTACATTGCGATACTTCTCTCTTGTTCTTAATTTCTGGCCTTTTGCACAACTTCATCGCTCTCTGCCATGAGCGCGATATCTAAATCCCCTTCTACGCCTGCGTCATCGCCGCCACCTGCCACCATGGAAAAGGAAAACGTGCAACAATCGATGCAGGAGGAAGAAGAGCGCATGAGGATACAGCGCGAGAAAGAAGACGCGAAACGCGACGCGCAATTAGAGGAGGAGAGAAAGGCAGACATCAAGAGTGGCAAGGAGGTGTTAGATAAGAAGTTCCAACAATTGGAGTTTCTCATGAACAAATCGAAGTTGTATGCGTCAGTGATGCTCCAGCAAATGCAAAAGCAGGAGGAAGAGGAGGAGGCGCAGGACAAGGAGACCAAAGGCGAAACCTCGGCACGCGAAAGGAACGCGGAGAAGACGGCAGCCGAATCGCAGAGACGAGCCACGCGCAGAAGCACAGCAAACGAAACGGCGACAGCGAATACAGAAGAAGCAGACACGGCACCGAAGAAGGGGCGTGGGAGACCCAAGAAACAAGACACTAAAAGTCGAGGAGGACCAAAGAAGCAGCAATCGGACATATCTAGTTACTTCAGTAAAGAAGAGCTGAAGAAAAAAGCAGGTACTGCAGAGGCAACAGAAGATGAGAAAGACAATGTCAAGACAAGCGATATCGGAATGACGAACCTCAAATCTGCAAGACAACCCAAACTCGTCACTGGTGGTACAATGCGGTCATACCAGCTTGAGGGGCTGGAGTGGATGGTGTCGCTATACAATAACGGTATCAATGGTATTTTGGCTGACGAGATGGGTTTGGGCAAGACTATACAGACCATTTCCATGCTGGCTCATCTTTGGGAGAACAAGTCGTATGGTCCTTTTCTCATTGCCGCACCACTCAGCACTACGAGCAATTGGGTTGCGGAATTTGAGAAATGGACACCAAGCATGCCGGTCATGCTTTACCACGGCGACAAGAAAGAGCGTGAGAGACTGCGCAGAACTAGATTACGAAACCCTGGCACAGCTGACTTTCCCATCATGGTTACGAGCTATGAAATTTGCATGAACGATCGCAAATACCTTACAAGTTTCGGTTGGCAGTTCATCATCATCGACGAGGGGCACCGCATCAAGAATCTCGACTGCAGACTGATTCGTGAGCTGCAACAGTTTCAATCCGCAAATCGTCTGCTAATTACAGGTACACCGTTACAGAACAACCTGACAGAGCTGTGGTCGCTGCTTCATTTCCTTTTGCCTACAGTGTTTGACAAACTCTCTACATTCGAGAGCTGGTTTGACTTTTCCGGACTGAAAGACAAGGCTAGTTTTGAACAGTTGTTATCGGAAGAACGTCAACAATACTTGGTCAAATCACTGCATGCAGTGTTGAAGCCTTTCCTGCTGCGTCGCGTCAAGACGGATGTCGAAAGCTTAATGCCCAAGAAGCGCGAGTACGTCTTGTATGCGCCGTTAACCTCGATGCAACGCGAGCTTTACCAAGCCATTCTTGATGGTACCAGCCGGTCTTATCTCGAGGACAAGGCAGTGGAGAGACTCAGTATCGGTCTCAATAGTCGAGCGGGGACACCGTTGAGCATTCGCAGTAACAACGGTAGTAACAAGCGTAAAGCTCTGAGCGACATGGGTACTCCCAACAAGAGTGCAAAGACTTCCCGCGCTGTGACACCTTCATCTGTCGCGTCGACCCGAAGCCGGGGTCGTCCAAAGAAGAATTACGAAGAGGTCAGTGACCAAAAGTACTTCGCCAATTTGGACAAGCCAGAGTCGGAGGATGAGAACGATGAAGATCTTAGTTCGGATGCTGAAGACGAGAAGATACGCGCAGCAACATTCGAAATTGCGAAACGTCAACTCATGCAGAAGAAACTTGGTAATCCCATCATGCAGCTTCGGTTATGTTGTAATTCGCCGTACAACTTCTTCAATCCATTCATCAAAGTCGACACGGACGGGGCTGAAACTTTTGCATCGGAGACAGAACCAGATGAGACGCTCGTATCAACTTCGGGCAAGATGCTCCTATTGGACTCCATTCTTCCCGAGCTTATAGCCCGTGGGCACAAAGTTCTCATTTTCTCTCAATTCACAACTACCCTCGATCTCCTTGGCTACTATCTAAATCTCCGCTCCTGGAACTATTCTCGCATAGATGGTTCCGTAGCACAAACCGACCGGCAGGAGCAAATTTTGGCATTCAACAAACCCTCATCTGCTACAAAAGAAGCTGCCGATATTTTCATATTGTCCACACGTGCAGGCGGCCAAGGTATCAATCTAGCAGCAGCAGATACGGTCATACTTTTTGACAGCGATTGGAACCCGCAACAGGATCTCCAGGCCATGGATCGCGCACATCGTATTGGCCAAACACGCAATGTCATTGTCTATCGATTCGCGACACGCAACACTGTAGAGCAGAAACTTCTTGAGTCTGCTGAAGCGAAACGTCGTTTGGAAAAGCTCGTCATCCGCAAGGGCGGTGTGCGGAATGATCGAGGTGGAACAAGAAGCTCAGAGAAGGAGCAGGAACTTGAAGAGCTTCAGAAGCTATTGAGGAGAAGTGATGGAGAAAAGTACGATATCAACGAGGCGAGTCATGGCGGGACATTATTGAGCAAAGAAGAGCTCGAAATCTTGTTAGATAGGAGCGATGAGGCATATGAGCGAGCGGAGAAGGGATTGGATGTTGGTGGAGACGGCGCTGTTTTCCAGGCTGTGGGGAAGAGGGAAGAAGGTGCGCTCATGGAGGGGTTGCGGGCTTGATGGAAATAGATCGATGGATGAACTTTGGGAAACAATCCGCATTATTAAGCAATGCTATACTTTGCACAATATAACTTGATTATCAGTCAGCTTGACAGCTACGTCATCTCCAACGTACCGCGACCATATTGACTACCTTTGTTACTGTAGCGGCGGCGATATTGCCGCTGTAAACGTTGACACGCCTCTAGAATTGGTTTACTGCTATTTGATTCCATACAAAAACCAATAAAAGCTACTACGAAACGCCGCAAAACGGCCCAAATGTCTTTTTTCCATGCGATAATCCATTCAAAACCGAGTATCTATAACTCAAATAAGAATGTTTACACTAAATTGAAAAACTGCGTGGGCTACGGAGGTAAAACGTTTACAGCTTATGGAAACCCTGCAATTAAACGTCTTCTTTTAAGATAATAAGTCGAGAGATGAGCCATGTTTCTTACGACTCAAAATGAAAATAATGGGTTCGAGCTGCATACGAGGGTGAAAAGTGGAGAGATGTTTTGTATGAGAGTCTATGATGATTGTATTTAAATAGAATCTTCATATTTAACAGTATACGAAGCGTACTTATTCTCACGAGTGGTTTTAATGAGAAGTTCTCGAGAATGATTATACACACAGTATCTTCTGTCATCAGTGCTGAGATAACTTATTTGCATAATATGGCAGCGTGGTATACCATAGGAGAGAACGGACGTATGCTATTTTTCCTTGTTATCTGCTTATTAGCTAATAGTTAACAAGACTTAAAGCACTGTTTGGTTGCCCGGGCACATCATAACTACGAACATGCGATTATGGGCAACGTGAACCCACGCACTTGATCCCAACATCGGTTTTTGAATTAGGTAAAAACAACATATGATACATTGAGCTGAGCCCCGAACTCCCAGAAATGACCCATTCAGAATTCCTAGGATTTCTTCTCAATGATATCAGGGTATGTGATACATGAGACGACCTGAGCCCAACCCCATAAAAATGCATTAGGGTTTGGATTTGGAGGTTTGGATACCATTACTCTACCTCTACGCAGAACGATGAAGCTTCTTTCAGCTGGCCATGCCCACCTGCTGTAGCATAACAGGACCTGTCGACAATGCTCTTACGATAAAGCCAAACATACCAGCGCCAATGGAAACCCTAGTGTTGGCAGAATTCACTCCGAATTATGACCCCTTGGCAGTTGTTGATTCGCAAGGATGAACATGCCTTATGGATCTAAACAAGACTACTATGCCACAGTGAACTATGTTTAAGACGAGGACTGAAGTGGCATTTCGTATTGTTTTTGTATCGCCGAAAGCCATAAAGACCCGAACATTCACATTTAATATTGCATTCCATATAAGTTTATACTACCACCTTGGCCACTACACGTGTTGTCACACACTTCTGTTTAGGTAGTGACTCTGCATGTGTGGTAGCTTCACAGCAGCAATCAATGGCGGTAACAACGATAGTATCCCAGCTACGTTGCTCAAACTTCAAGAACTGTAGCTAAGATTTTTAAATGTTTTTGCCAATATGAAAGCAGAGCTTGTTGCGAGAAACCCCCAGTCCGCGGCAATGTGACGTTGTTCCTTCATCACTCATCATGTGTACTATGCTCTATATCAATGGGTTCTCTTGCCGTTACGCTTTTGGGTTAATAAGATTAAGCGCTTCTCAAGACTAGAAAAAAAAAGAAAGTCACGGGTGCTATAATGTCCCATGTTATCGGTAAGATCAAGAAGGAGCCGATTAAGTTCGGCAGTCACACCGGGAACAAGCCCGTTCTAAAGAGGGCCTAATCCATAATTTACGAGAAAAACAAAGAAGCGCCTAAGGAAAACTCATGAGTAGCAGCCGTTGAGAACGACAGGACAGTTGACTACATCAGCAAGCGTGAAAGCACTAAGATGGGTGTGAGCCAATTATTGATGAGCGATGACATACATCTAGTCGAAGATTGTAGTGGTATCATCCTGGTCAACGCCACTTTTACAAAGCTGAAGCTGCTTGAAATGATCACTAGCACCCCCTTCACGTGAAAAATGGCACAATTCTAAAGGGGGATAGTGAGGCGAAAGTGTTCCATTTTTCGTGTGGAGGGGGTACTAGTCCACTGGCCAAGATTAAGGCTGACCAAAAGACGAAGCATCGTTTCACCTTTAGTTCGGATATGCACAGCAAGAGAGGCTCAGTAACACACTAACTACTAAAGTTGAGTTGGCTGACTGTGATGGACGAAAGTTATCGAATTGGCCCCCAACATGTTTCGTATGTCTTGGATTCAACACAGACAAAATTCAGCTGGGCTTTGGAAATATTGTCGATCAAGCATAAGGTTCGGTCTAATCACATAACAAAATCACACAGCCACACCACTCAATCGTGTGTAGCCAGCAGACGGTCTGCACCTAGCTATTGGAGAATGTAACGTAATAACTTGTGCGCAGCCATTGCATAGCGTATTGTTTAGGAAACATGAAATCTTGAGCGATTTTCCATGTGCTTGCCCTTTTTCATATATGGCACATTGCCGGTACGGTATTAAGCCGTCATGATGTCAATGTCAGCACAAGTCCCAGAAGCCGGGCCGTGTCCTGCAGAATACGTACGAATGCACGCACAACCAGCCATGGACGAGGCTAATCTTGTCTTTAATCGGTAGTCAACACCCTCCCCCTTTTCCGTAAATTGAGACGTATTCACCAGGTGCGAGATTGGTCTTTGCCGATTCTGACCGGCGCCTTTGCTCCTCGGCGCCTTTGCTCCTCGGCGCCTTCTCAAGCCACATTCACTATGCAATCCTACTTCTCCCCGGCCATTGCCAATGGTACGAATGCCACTTACGCAATCGGGATTCCGCTGTCTCATGACCGACGCACCCCAGAAAGGGCAAGCAAAAGGCTCGAAACGAGATGCGATCAGCACAACTAAACCGAGATGGCTTGTCGGCGCGGGAAGTTCCCAAACCCTCTAGACCACTCATAGCAAACACCAAATCGTGCATACAGACCTATCCTGGCAAACAGCGCCACAGCTATTGGCAGCAGACCCTTGCGTTCCCCGCGGCCAACTTCAGAGGTAGTACAAAACAGGACAAAAGGGGTCGTAATGCAGATCTCCACGGGAGCGCGCGTACATGCGTCGGAACCATATTAGGAAGTAACCATAAACGGTCCGACGCCCACAATTAGACCAAACCAGATCTCGTAGCACCTCCGTTCTCTTGGTCGCAGTCGCTGGGCTCGTCGGTCTAAACCCAATCGCAAAGACTAGTCTCTAGATCGCGAACCACGCGTGCGGCTAGTCCAGTAGGGGAACCTACACCCAAGATATCACTTCCAGGATTTATGACGGGTGTTGGGAATTATATATAACAATTCTTGGGTGTAGATTTAAGGTTTTGAGCTGAATGCGCAGTTGATAACTCTAAACATTGATACTTAATTCGAGAACTTAAAAATCGAAGTTCTTTGGGAATGATTGACGAGATGGAGTACGTCACGACGATGTAGTAGTATGCAAAGCTAGATGCTTCGATCTCCCAACAACCATCCGCACATAACACTAGCACACTCCGCTCTCCATTTACCCCAGACACATCCTCATGACCCGCAAAAAGAAGAAAGCGGCACAAATGACTAGGGGCGGAGTGGCGGTTGGCGGGGAGTAGCATACAAACAACACAACATGTGTACATGGCGCGGGACCCAAACATGTAGATACCTTCCCTTTCCTTGCTCAAACCACTCAATTCCATATCCAATAACACGCCCCGGAAATGGTGAAGAGCCACTACACATTCCATCGCCACCGATCCTAGCATCGAATCCAAACACCACGCATCACACGCCCAGGCCCATGCGCTATCCATATGCCCATCCATCAAGCTAAGTAGCACTAACAAACCCCTTCCGCCAAACCAGCTAATGCTCTACGTAACTTCCCTCTAGCCTCTGCAGATGCACAACACCGCAACTAGCAAAGCGCATCTCTCCCGCACTAGATCAAACAGCACGCAATCTACCCATCTACACATCCAGGCCCCTCATTTACCACCTACCGTAACTTGACCCTAGCCACCGCAACACCCAACCATCCCACCTTCCCCCTTCCCTCCCTTGCACGCACACACCAAACGCTACTTCTAGCCCGTGACGTCTCAAGGCCCGTCGCGCCGCTACGTGACCCGGTCACCGGGGGCATCCGCTGTTCTTCAGTGCAAGCGGCGGCCTCGCCGAGGATGGTCTTGAGGAGGCGAGTGAAATTGATTTGGCGCATGAATGGGGCGGGAAACCGGGGGAACCGGGGGGGCATACTGACGTTGATATTGGTGGAAAGTCTACACAGTAGCGGGAAACGCTGCTTAATTCCTAAATCGACATGTATGCACAAAGGGAAAAAGTAAGACAAAAATGGGACGGAGGAAGGCGAAAGGTAGCCAGTTGAGGCCAAAGACGGTAATGTATATTAGAGAGACAGAGCTTAAATGATTGGGGATTTGTCGTGTGGCACTCTGATAATATTTTTTCTTTTCTCCACTTATCCATTTCTTCGATTGTCGATATATACACATATTTTTGTGGGAAGAAATTTTTCCAACAATGTATTTTCTAAATGCGAGAATCGCACTCCTCGCTGTGGCGACTGCACCGTTGACGGCGGCATGGCCGACTGCTATACTGGATGCTGCAGAACATGATCCCGAGTTGCTAAAGCGTGCGGAGCAAGAAGTAGCAAGGGCAATGCAAGCAAGACAGAACAGTGCAAGCGCCGCCACAACTATATTCGAGCCCGTCCCCATCTTCGATGCAAAGGCACAGTACATCGACGTCAGCGCGGGGAGCGGCCATGAATACGTTCCCCCGGGCCCTGACGACCTTCGGGGCCCATGTCCCGGGCTGAATGCTCTGGCAAACCACGTACGTCTATTCATCAAAAGAAGAAAAAGCATTTTTGCACATGTTTTAGATGTCATACTCAACACTGCATCTCCGTAGAACTTCCTACCGCACAATGGCTACGCCACCGTAACCCAGTACGTCGAAGCGACGACCAAAGTCGTCGGCATGGGTCCCACCCTCGCCCTCCTCCTCTCTGCTGTCGGCGGCGCCCTCAGCGGCGACATCCTCAACTGGTCCATAGGCGGCAAGCCCTCGCTCGCCCAGGCCGGGCTGACAGGCATCCTGGGCAACGGACTCACGGGCTCGCACAACAAGTACGAGACCGACGCATCGCCCACACGCGGAGATCTATATCAAACCGGCAACAACTTCAACACGGTGCCTGCGCAGTTCCAGCAGCTGATCGATGCGTCGCCCGGCGGCGTCGTGACCCTCGAGAGCCTGACTGAGTTTCGCAGTGCGCGAGTGGATGCGCAGCGGAAATCCAATCCGTATTATTTCAGTGGGCCATTTGCCGGTGTGCTGGTGCAGCCGGCGGCGTATACGTTTATTTTTCGCTTCATGGCAAATCATTCCGCGGAGAATCCCGAGGGCGTGCTGCCGTATCATGTGCTGCAGTCGTGGTTTGGGATTCAGGGAACAAGCGGAAAGTATACTGCTGTGCAGGGTGGAGAGCGCATCCCGAATAATTGGGTGAGTTTTGTGACTTCGCGTGTGACTAGAGAGTGTATGTGTGCTAATGAGGCGTCTCTCTCTTGCTAGTACCGTCGTCCGATAGCGTATCCATATGACACGCCCTACTTTCTTGCTGACACCTTGAACGCTGCTGCTTTGTATCCCAAGTTTCTTGAGATTGGCGGGTACGTTGGTCCTTCTCTTCCAACGGCAAGCGCCGTCACTTACACTGACTCGTTATAGAAACACCGGTCAACCTGACTCTTTCGTTGGTGTGGATGTAGCAAGCCTGACCGGCGGTATTTTCAGTTCTGCCAATCTCCTCAAGGGAAATAACCTGGCTTGCTTCGTCTACCAAGTTTCCGCAATAGCCAAGCCCGATATCCTTCTTGGCCTGCTTACTACACTTCTCGATGTGGTAAACAATGCGGTTGCTGCTTTGAGCTGTCCACAGTTGAAGAATTTTGATCAGAGCGTGCTTAAGCAGTTTCCTGGCTACAACAGGCAGAATGTGTACGGGTAGAGCGAAATGTCTTGGACTGGTAATGATTCATGACTTGGTTATTGAGCGGGAAGATTGGTGATCTCATGCATGTAAATAAATACAATTGTACTCAAAAATATGAAGCAACTCTACAATCAAATCATTCAAGCGGACGATTTGCCTCACCACAGCATCGTCATACTATACAAGACGTGCATGATAGGCATACGCATGCACTGATAGGGACAAATATGTAACGAGGCCGTCTCCGGCCCGACCCTCATAAGGGAGTCAGGCACAAACAAGGACAGATGTCGATATTTTTCTTCCAACGTTCCGTTAAGAGTGCACCGTATCAAATCACGGGACTCCTGCAGGCTCAAGGCCTGCATCGCTGGTGTGTAGTACATCACAATTTCGGTCAATAACTGCTTTGACTCTGGACTGAGACAAGAAGATCGGGGTCAACAAGGCAGAGAGAGGACTGACATAGAACACTGTCATGGTGCAGGCATCATCAGTACCGAGCCTTCGACATCTACAACTTACTGCGGTGAGTTCATGACCTCGTATAAATATCATGTTTCATTTGTGGTTTACGGCCCCACACAGGTAGGCTCGTTGGTGCTGCCACCACCTACCGTTGTCTCCTTTTTTTCACAACGCCATATTTGTACTTTCTACAAAATAGTAGTAAAGTGATACCCATACGCCTTGCTAACAGCAAACCAAAGCTCGAGCTCTCCCACGTTCTCTCATCATCATGGTAGTTCGTCTAATCGTAGTGCATAAAGAGCTGACTCATACTCTCTCCGTGGTGGTTTCGCCTAATTGCTTCTGCTAGGAGGTTATCAACCTTGATAATGTCTAGCTTGTCTTGACTGGCCTGAGCGAGCTTGTGTTCGGGAATCGGGAACGCGTTAGTGATGACAATCTTGTCAATGACATCACAGTGGCTCATCTCCTCAAGACAGTCGCCGCCAAAGATGCCATGCGTGGCAAAGCAATACACCTTGGTCGCGCCACCGCGCTTGACAACAGTCTCAGCGGCGGCAATCCACGATGCAGACTTGTCCATCATGTCGTCGACAATGAAGACGGGACGATCTTTGACATTGCCGACAAGAGTCACCATGGTCTCGAGTTCGGGATTCTTGAGGTCTTCTTCTTCGTCTTCAGATGAAGCAGCAGCGTCATAAGTTCCGCCTAGAGCGTGTGAATGCTCCGTCTCTCTATTACGACTAGACGAGGCATTCGAAACGAACGAGGACATCATGTGATTGGGTATGTCGTCATCGCCTTCCGACGGGGGACGATTGCGCCAGGTGCTATGAGAGGTCGCGGACATGGATGGCGAAGGATGAGTGTCATCGACAATGTGGCCTTGGACTAGACGTCCATGAATAACATTTCGTGCGCGCTGTGATGGTTAGAAAGATGGCACAAGTCTTTGGCATGGACAAACCTCATCAGTGTACTCCTCCTCCTCCTCGGCGCCACTCTCATCTACATCCTGCCCCTCGGACGCTTCCTGTTCTTGGTTCTCTGCATCAGTTCGAATAGGCTCTAGTGGAACTTCAGGTTCGATGATAGAGCCTGCACGCATCGACTTGGAAAGTGGATGACTCCCTGCCGACTCTGAGCCAGCATGAACTCGCCGTACAAGTGGGTTTGTGGGGGTGCGTCTGAGGCTCGATTTGCCCGGTTCCGCTTTTGGATCGATTGTGATGTTGCTGATTGGTGTGACATCGGCATCTGTATCCAGCGCAGTTCGCACCAAACCTGGCGTCTCGTACGCACCATCCAATCGAAGTTGCTCAAACATGGCGCTTTCGTTCCAGTGCACTGCTGTGCCCGCCCTACGCCTGTCAGTCGTGACAATGCCGAAACTGAGTTTCAACGCGTCAGCTAGCGACGTGACGCGCTTTGTGCCACCCGGGTTCTTGCTAACAACCACAGCCTCCCTCCAATTGGGCACGTTGACACGAATCCAGCGCGCAATGAGGGGTTCGGCGACGAGGTTGTCAACAGGGCATTTGAAGAAGCCCTGCATCTGCGAAGCGTGCAGGTCAATTGTCATGACATGGCTGACGCCAGCAATGTGCAAAAGATTTGCGACCATGCGCGCAGTGATGGCACCGCGGTGCTGCTTCTTCTTGGACTGACGCGAGTAGGGAAAGTAGGGCATGACAGCTGCGACTGTTAGTCACTGGCATTGAGCTCATCGAGGTGCGCGGTACCTGTGACCGACTTGGCTGAGCCGCCTTTGCAGGCCGAGATCATAATCAGCAGCTCCATCACCGAGTCGTTGATTCTGACCCATTAGCCATTTGGCGCACGACGGGGCTGGGCTACGCACTTCTCGCTCCCACTCTGGACGATGAAGACATCTTTGTTCCGGATCGAAGTATCTGCAGGACTTAGCGTGTGTTATATAGGGCGAGAGGGTGAGGGTGAGGGCGAGGTGAGCGTACGAATGGTGACGGAAGTTTCTCCATTTTTAAATTTGCCCAGGGTTGCGGAGCCAGGCTTCATGCCCAGGCGGTCACAAATGCCCTCGACAAGCCTGGGATGCGAGGTGCCGCCAAAGACGATAGCGCCCCTCATGGTGGGCGGTCCTAGGAGAGTGACGTTCTCGTAGTGGGCAAATTGTGGTGAAGGCCGATGAGGCCTGGCAAAATTGCTTGACATTCTAGTAGCTGAGCTGTCGGCACGTCGGGGGTTGGGCCTGCCCCACTATCCGCTCGCTCGATAGGGCAACGACTAGTCGGCAGCCAGTGGCAGCCCGCACCTGACTCGCGATCACCAAAAGCGACGTGCACACACACACACCCACACACACCAAGAAGCGACGTAGTAGGAATTTGGGCGGGAAGTACAGCTCGAAAGGCAATCTTGACCTGCAAGGAATCGACACAAAATGCACATGGTGAGCTGGCGGGGCTGCTGCTCCTTCTTTATGCACATGGCTGCACTACCCAAACGTCTTACAAGCAGCTGCTGCGCTGGCACGCGACCACAGAGTCGCTTCGTCTAGCCAGTCAGGGTCCTTAAGTAGACCACGATGCACCTCTGTACCTGCAGAGCCTCTCGAGTCCCCGCCTTCCACAATACCATGCAGCCCGTCTAGTCTGCCTTTTTATATCCACTGCTCGACTCGGCAATCGCAGCCACGCGAAGACTTGTTCGGTTACACAGGCTCACCGCTTGCTTCTGTACACCCTCGATGGACTCGATGGTGAAGGTTGCCCAAGCTACATACATGGCGGTCTACAGCAAAAGCCACCCTATTGGTGGCTCTGATGTGATGGAGTCATAGCCGTCGAGCTTCATGGGCGGTTGCAGTGTCAACGCATCACGGACACGGGATTTGACTTTGTTCTGTCATACTAGCCGACCTGTTTGAGGTCAGGTGGCCCAAAGCAGCCAGTGGCCCGGACAGACATCGAGAGTTGTCTTGGAAGAAGGAAGCACAAATAGATATTGGCGTGGGTCCGTCAATATGCTCTGTACATCACTCGAGGTCCTGTAGGCGCCGATGACTTCTCGGCAGTGAGATGGTGGTGGCATGGCTGGCAGGCAGCTTGACAGCCAAACTGGCAATACGATCAGCTCTATGCCAAAAGTATTGTCGAGCTACTTGGGTAGTATGCATTGATGTGGGAGGGGATAGTCTCCCTGGTGCAACCATGGAGTGTGCTTGAAAGAGAAGCAATGATGCTCCACAGGGTAGGCGGATTGATGATGGACATGGTCGGCCTCTGTCTTGCTGGTTGAACGGTGTGATGGTGTCGACGAGGCTGTGCAAAAACAGCCCGATTGGCTGCCGGGGCTGCAAAAGGAGCGGACACTAGTAGAGGCCATCTGGTCCCGAACACCAGGTCTGGCGGCACGATCTGGCTGTGCGTGGAGCTATGGTGAAGTGACAGAAAACGGCGTGCACGACAGCAACGCTTGGGGCTACGAAGGGGCCGGCAAAAGCTCGGCTTGCCAGGGAAGGCAGTTTTCCAAGAGCCTGGTCCGGGGTCGGCAGGCAGGTTGAGAGCGGATGGGACGTGGTACACGGTCATGTTTGCGCACGATTGCCTCACAACCGTCGAGGATGGAGACGGGCGATGGAGCTAGCCTAAAGGACAAATGGCCATCGGGGTTGCACGATCTGGCATCGTGGCACCGGGCGTCAGGGTCAGCCCACGAAGGTGAGGGCAAGACCAAGATGGACGACTATGGGCGGGATCCCAGCACCCCACCCACATGGACGTGTTGGTGGACGGGGGAGGGAGGGCCAACTGCATGCGGCCGAGGACTCGGAGGGCGTCCGGGGCTGGTTAGCTGGCTGGCAGGCTGGCTGGCAGGCGGAAGCGGTGGGTTGCTTTTGGCGTCCATCTGGCGTCCGGGCGTGGAGGGAGAGTTTGGTGTGGGCATTGGATGCACCAGGTGTTTACGGGCCTGGTGGGTGGTGGAGAGGAAACGGGCCGGGGGAGAGGGACGCCCATGCATAGCGACGGTTTCGGCAATCGTGTCTGGGCTGCCGGGCGGCCCATGCGGCTCCTCAGAAGCGCATGTGGGCAGCCGGGATGGCCAGTGGGCGCACGCCAGCAGCCAGCAAAAAAGGAAACGCACCAGGAGCCAGTGCCGCGCCCAGCCTAGCATCGACTCAGACTGCAACTGGCACTCGGTCGCGCACGCCGTGGCTGCATACATGCTGAGCCTGTCCCAACGTCTGTTTGTGGACGAGAGCGCATATGCCATCACCACAACGCGGCCGCCGAGCACGGTTAGCCGTGACACACTGGCTGCAGCAGCGCTGCCCTCGATCCCTCGCCGAACTATGCCATTGCGCCCTGCCCTGGCCTGCCCTGGCCTGCCATGCTCTCTCGGGCCTGCTGCGGCCTCTATACGGCATGCTCGTCGCGGATGCGGCTACGGGCCAGGCAGCCTGTCGTGGTGGACAGAGCCATCCCGGAAGATCAGACGGAGCACGAGCGAGACGAGCGAGACGAGTGAGGCAGAGAGGCAGAGAGCGAGAGCGAGGTAGGTAGAGCGGCTGGCCCACTCCCTCGTGGCACCGTCAAGACCATCTCTTGCTTCATCGGTCCGGCACCCATCCGCCTTTGGATCTCGACACTCGACCAAGGCACCACGGCCAGACGGCTGCACGGCTGCGCGCTGCTGCTCGTTGTACACACCCACTTGCACTCGGCCTGAATGGCCGTCGAATGGCTTGCACTGTAGCCAAAGTTTATTCTCCGCTTCTCCCCCCCCCAAGCCTTTGACAAAAGGCAAAAAGGCAGCTGGCAGCTGGGAGCAACTATAAGACGGCCCAAGATCCGCGTCGTTAGCGTCTGCAGTCTGGCAACAAGCAAGCCCTGGAGTCGTTCCTTCTCCAGCAACCATCCAAACACCGCGGCTGCCTCTTCTGCCTCTCCTGCCTCTTTGGTCTCCGCTCGCTCCTTCCTGCCTCGTCCCTGCCCTCGTCCCTGCCCTCGTCCCTGCCCTCGTCCACCTCCACATCCTCCTCCACATTGACTTTTGTTTTGTCAGCCACGATCAAGCCGGCCCTAAACACCCTCGCTCTCAACCCTCCCCCTCCCCTTCCTACCCTACCTTGACTTCGTTTCCTCCTTGGCCCCTGCGGTGCGGCCGCCACTATTCACGTCAGTACTCACTCAACCTCAATTGCTATATCTACTCTTGCCATCCCCCACCCAATCTCACCCACCACCACCACCTCTCTCTCTCACTTTCACACCCACTCACTCACTCACTCACTCACACATATCCACAGTCGTTCCCGCTCAATTGCCATCGCTTGTCCACCCGTCTTCTCCCCATCTTTGCAATGGCCCGTCCCAGCTGCTCCCATAGCTTCAAATTGATCAAGTCCGACACCACTCTCGTTGTTTGGACCTGCAACTTGTGTCACAGCGGGCCCTTCACCTCCATCTACGAATGCGATCAGTGCAAGCTCAAGACGTGCCAGCCCTGTGCCTCCAAAGCATGAGCGAGTAAGTGCCTCATACCTCGCACACACCCCAGTCGCCCCTCTACGCACCCCAAATGGCATCTTGCATCACCACACATGCGAGCTGTGCCATGTGTCGGTCAAAAAAAATCCACTCTGGCTGACGCTGACTCGCTGCCGTGTAGATGGAATGCATGGATCGCCAACTACGATCCAGCCCACCCGAGATCCCGGTAACCAGATATGTATCTAGACGCACGCGACACGGCCCAATACCCTTCGCTCTCCGCTTGGCAACATGCCCGCTCCCATTCCCGATCCATCATACCACCTGGGTTTCCAGTCACGCCTTGCTTCTCCCCGACTCCATCACGTGGCCTTCTTCTTCTTCTTCTTCTTCTTCTTCTTCTTCTTCATCTTATCCACCTCTTAGCATGGCGTTTTGGGTGGCCCCATCCATCGAATCGTTTGATGCCAAAAAAAGCAATCACCTTACGACAATGGCACGTTTTTTTTCTCCCGCTCGGAACAGGCTTCCGCGCTTGCTTTACAAAAAGGAAGGGGTGTGGTACCCGCTTCTGGCCGTTTCAGATCGGACTAGGCTCCTGTCTGGCAAATGCCGCCTTCCCCTGTTCTACCATTCCTACATGGTCTCTTTCCTCAATCACATTATGGTCGCCGAGCCCACGTGGGCTCCATTTTTTTCTCTTGTGTTTTGACCCTACAACGACTGGTGCAAACCATTATGCCCTAATGCTTTCAAATTTCCTTTCTGCTCATCATCTGGTACTGCTACATGGGGTTTTGTATTTGATTACTATACAAAGTTGTCGGCTTGAGCTATCTGTACATCTAGACGCCCTTGGGTGGAGATTCTGTTTCACATACCCACGAGGGCGCACGTCTTGGCAGCTGTAATAGACAATAATCCAACACACTGATTTCATCAACGACTCGCCTCCCGGTTGATTCCTATAGCCGCTGCATCGCTAAGGATGGTGACTTACCTCGTGCAAGAATTAGCTCGCGCAGGTTTCAGGACTAGGGTCTGCACGCAGTTACATGGCTTGCACGAGCTGAGACGCGTATCCTCGATGCGAGGTGAGGCTTTTAAGCTTCGATATTCCTTCTCCAAAGGGTTCGGTGCATACATGGCTCCCAAGACAAATCTGTAAGTCCGAATGAGGCACAAACCGCGAGCCGCTCTCGCTTGTCTCAGCTAAACTGCTGCACTTGCGCCACAGCGGACCGTGACAAACACCTATTTAATCGCCACTGGCGTGTCTCTGAGTGCGGTTTTGACAAAGTCATGACCACTGTGTTATGCTAGCCCTGCGATTTCTCAAAGAACGATTCATCCGACATGATTAGAGCACACAAGCAACTTTTTTCCATGCTTGCATCGAAAGACTATGAGAATCAGGTTCACCCTGCGTGTGGGTGTGACGTGCATGCAACAGATAACCGTTCTCAGCTTCAACAATGAAGAGGTCTCCGCCAAAGGCGCGATCCTGGGGCGGATGACCGGCAGATAAGGTCATTGGTCAGAGCTGTGGCTGTCCAAGGATGGCATACTTACACAACAAACCGATGGCTAAGTACTGCCCCTCTCGCCTACGGCCCTTCACCCACCCGCTTTCTA